CCCTTCGCATCAGTCTTGCCAAATTCGATTATCTTAGAGGCTGTTAAGGTATGGATCTCTTCTCAATCTCAGATCGGATTTTCGATTCTTGCAGAAATCGAGTATCCTTTGTTGCTGAATCGTTCGGATTTTTGTGAATTTAGGGATTTGTTTGATTCGGGAGGTAGAGATTTTGACTGGTTTGAAGTTGATTCGGCGAAGTTGTATTGTATCTAGAAATTATTGAGTAATGGAAGACGGCGAGCTTGGTTTCTCGAACCAGGAAGTATTGGCTGCAACGAAGCTTCAGTGCCAACGTATTGGCTGCAACGCCATGTTCACCCATGACGACAATCCAGACGGTGCTTGTCAGTTTCATGCGTCTGTACGTCTTCTTTTCTCCATCCTTCTTTAATTCATGTTTTTCCCAAAGTCTTCTCTACTCTCAGTAAAACTTGTAATTGAATGATTGACCAAACCCTTAGTTTGGGAGCTAGCTTTGCATTCGAAAAATGTGTGGTGAACCTCTTCCGAATTATTTGAATTTATGTTGTGTGGTTGCGAATTTGACGTTGATGATGGTTTTTAGTCTAGAGCTGATGATTTGCAAGTAGTCAATTAGGTTTTGATATATCATACAGGTGTAGCCTTGCACACAGCATTGATTCTTCTAATTGCCAAATATAAAACTAACTGTTTGCTTGCAAATTTATTAGCCCTTTGAATGAGAGAGCTTGGTAGACTCTATCAATGGAAACAACGATAGAATGCATCTATTAGTGCTTCAATTAGTCTATTGACCTATGCTTGTTCCATATACAACTCCTTGTCTTTTACATGTGACCCTCCTTACTATTGTGTCTTTCATTCTCATCTATGCTTTGAGAGTTCATTGTTATCTTTACATATTTTCATTTACCACTTTTTTCCGGTGTGGCTGCTGTTGGCTTTTCACTGACCACTGGTTTTTTATCAAGCAGGGAGTAAGTCTTACTCTTCAAATACTATTTACTATGTTTTTTTTTTTTTTTTGCGTTGCACACTCATCTGTGCACAGAATTAAAGCTAGAAATGTTCATACTTGCAGCCATTTTTTCACGATGGAATGAAAGAGTGGAGCTGCTGCAAGCAAAGAAGTCATGATTTCAGTTTGTTCTTGGAAATTCCAGGGTAATGATATTCTTTTGATCTCCTCATTGAATAACCCATGTATCCGTGTTGTGCTTGACACATTTTTCCGTTTCTTGTAATGAAGATGTAAAACAGGTAAACACACAACCGAGAAACCGGTTCTGGCCAAACCGGCTCCAAGACATCCTGTTGCGGTTCCTACTTCATCTCCAGATGCCAATGCAGCAACAAAAGGCTCTTGCTCCAGATGCCGGCAAGGCTTCTTCTGCTCAGACCATGGTTGGTAACTTCACTCTCTTTCCGGTTTAAATGTTTGTTTACAGTGGTGAATGCAGCAAATCTCTATCTAAACGTTTTCCCCTACCATGCCAGGTTCCCAACCCAAAGAACAAATTAGGCAGACCCTGACCACGCCAGTACAAGTGCAAGAAGAAGAGATTAATTCCATAGCACCACCTCCAGTAAAAAAGGTTGTTATAGACATTAATCAACCGCAAGTCTGCAAAAACAACGGATGTGGCAAAACTTTCAAAGAGAGAGACAATCACGAGACTGCATGTAGCTATCATCCAGGTCCTGCGGTCTTCCATGACAGACTAAGAGGGGTGCGTAATGCCTTTCTTTTGCTCAATGACCCTTTTTCTTTATCTTTTTGAATCTGTGTTGAAGATCAACGTTCTTGGTTTGTGCAGTGGAAATGCTGCGATGTACATGTGAAGGAGTTTGACGAGTTCATGGAAATACCTCCGTGCACTAAAGGTTGGCACAGCAGCAGCCCAGATCAAGCAGTCTGATATAGTTCTGAGATTTTCAAATTCCTTTCTAGATTGATATGGAACCTTTCATTCAACAGATATATGTTACGGTTAAATTGCTCATTATAACTGTTTTGAATGCTTCCATTTCCAATTCCATAAAGGTTCTCTGGTTATGTTTTGGATGTGATAAAGGATTTTATTGTTGTTTTGCAAACGTTGAGAATCTTTCGAAACTTTCACCAATTTCAAATGGCCATTTTTGCAAACTTTTCAAAAGAGGAGACGTATAGCTAATACATATCTAATTATCTCAACACTTTCCACACGTCGTCTCCGTTCCTTCCACTTGGTAACTCTCATCTCTTGACGCTCGCCGGACCGGACCGGAGCAAACAAGTATCGCCGGCGATGAGGCTGATAGTACCTCTCCGTGGCGTAATTCAAGGCCGTGGAGGTCTCTTCGTCGGCTCTCTCATTCCTTGCTGTCTCTTCTATGTTCTCCAGCTTTACCTGAAACGACGCCGTTCTCCGCCTGACCCACCTCCGACGTCGTCGCGGTCGAATCTCTTCTCCCGCGGGAACTCGATCGGACGTGTTCGAGTCTCTTCTCGAGCTGTTCCTGTGGCGAAGCCTACCGATTCGCCTTATTACATTGGGTTGGAGAGAGTCAAGGCGGATCCGTACGATCAGATGAATAATAGAGATGGGATTATCCAGCTTGGATTAGCTGAGAGTAGTGTGAGTTTTGAAAATTCTCCATGTTTTCTCTTCTCTTTGTAATTGTTGTTGTGCAAACTGATTTCATGGGGATTGCTTTTTGCGAGTTTTGTTGTAGCTGTGCTTTGACTTGCTCCAGAGATGGATGTCTGAGAATTTGATGGAGTCGATGATGATACAATCTGATGATGGTGAATTCGATATCAGTAGTATCGCCATGTATAAACCTTTTGAAGGATTGCTTGAACTCAGAGTGGTAAGTGTAGATAGCCATCTTGTAGCAACATCTATAGCTTTTTGCAGTTAAATTTGATTGATTTCTCGTCTTACCTATGAACAGAGGAAAATTGTTTGTGTAGAGTTCTCTATCTCTTGAAAACTTGTGGATTTAGGTGTTTGGCCTTGCTTCATAACACTAAATTCAAGGAAATCAAATTGCCTCTATTCCTCTTGGCTTGTCTCTTCTACTTTCTTATGTTTCGTTTTTTTGTTTGGAACTGCTGCCAGGCTTTTGCTGATTTCATGTCGAGAATAATGGGAGGTAATGTGTCATTTGACCCTTCGAACATGGTGATAACAGCCGGTGGGACTCCTGCTATCGAAGTATTGGCCTTCTGCTTGGCAGATCATGGAAATGCTTTGCTAATTCCGTCGCCTTATTATCCAGGGTAATTTTTATCATATACTTCTCAACCATCTAATGTAATATTTGATGAAAGTGTTCGATCATTCCAGCTTTCAATGTGATGTACTAAAGAAAGAAACTGAATTTGCAGCTTTGACAGAGATATTAAATTCCGGACAGGAGTGGAGCTTATACCAGTACACTGCCGGAGCTCTGATAATTTTACTGTAACAGTTTCTGCGTTGGAACAAGCTTTTAATCAAGCTAGAAAACGAGGAAGTAAGGTTTCTGGCATCCTCTTTTCAAATCCATCCAATCCTGTTGGAAACATATTATCAAGGGAGACGCTCCATGATATTCTGAGATTTGCTCAAGAGAAAAACATCCATGTTATCTCTGATGAAATATTCGCCGGTTCTGTTTACGGGGATAAAGAGTTTGTTAGCATGGCAGAGGTCGCTGTCTCGGGGGAATTTGATAAGAGTAGGGTTCATATCATCTATGGCTTGTCAAAAGACCTTTCAATTCCTGGTTTTAGAGCTGGAGTCATCTATTCCTTTCACGAAGACGTAGTAAATGCCGCGAAGAAGCTTATGAGATTTTCATCTGTGCCAGTTCCAGTCCAAAGGATACTTATCTCTCTGCTATCAGATACAAGATTTATTGAGGAATATATGGCATCCCACAGGCAAAGGATCCGTGAGAAGTATATTCGGTTTGTGGAAGGTTTGAAACAATTAGGAATTCCATGTGCTGAGAGTGATGGTGGGCTGTATTGTTGGGTTGACATGAGAAGTTTACTAACATCCTACAGTGAGAAAGGAGAACTCGAGTTATTTGAGAAGCTATTAAGTGTTGCCAAAATAAATGCCACTCCGGGAACAGCCTGTTATTGTATAGAACCTGGTTGGTTCAGGTGCTGTTTTACCGCTTTAGCCGATGAAGATATCCCAGTAATCATGGCACGGATCAGACAACTTGCTGAATCAGCCAGATCTTAAGGTCAAACAATATTTTGGGTTAGTGTTAAATATATCGATAGACATTCTTTAAGCAAGTTGTTAGAGGTTTGGAAGATAGGAAAGAATTCGAAAATGTAACATTATCGTTTGGCAGCAGAAAGAGTTTGTACAATACTGAATATACAAGTTTTACTATCTTTGAAAAGAGAACAGCTTCCAAAATTCTGTTTCCAGATGCAAATTGTGAGGACCTTTGTAAAAGCTTTCTTCTAAATGAGCTTCAGCCTCGGTTGGTATTTTTTCCACTCAAGTCCTTCTATCATTTTGATGCAGCAACTCTCAGCTCCATTCTTTGTAAATTCCTGCTAGTTTATCAAAGCATGTGTCAATATGTTTTCGTGATAATAAGGTTATTGCTTTGGAAGAGAATGCGGGGAAAAAAAAATACTTTTACCATGGAAGGATTCTGCTTGCTCATTTCAACAGCTCTTCTCATATAGCTTCTCCTTCGGCTCATCATTATCAGCTCGCCTAGTGTCTGCGGCGTCCTCACAGGAAAACCAATGTTCATGTTGTCAGAAGCTGTAGTATGCTTCAGTTCTTCACGCAACGGATGAGTAGTAGTAACTTGAACATCCTCAGAATCAGCAGCTTTAACCTTTTCCTGTGGAAGAAGACGTGGAAAGAGCTTTTCCAAGAACGAAGCTCCCACAAGGCTGGAAACTCCCGTCATGTAACTGCTCGTACTGTCATCAGATTCATAAACCGGTGATGTTGGCATCGAGATCATTTCTCTATTCAGGTTGTCATCAAATTCATCCACCGCCACAACACTGGATATCGAAACTGAATGGTTTGCTGCTAGTAGAGACGGCACAGAACTGAAGGAATCGCTGCTTGCGTCATCATAAGTATCGCTGCTGGTTTCAACTTCACCGTACATGGGAGGCGGTGGCAGCGATTGATCCAGTGGCTCAGGTGGGTTGGTATCAACAAAGCAAGGATATGGTTGTCCAGGAGTTGCTTCCCAAACGAATGGAACCGATGTAACCAGCTTAACTGGAACTGGAACCGGTGGTGGTAATGGAGGAGTTGCGGCGGTTTCCAATGGTGGATGTGGAAGCTGAGGTGGGCAATCTGAGGAAGAAGGGAGTGGCTTTCCAGGCGTCTCTTCCCAACGGAAAGGAACCGACGTGATCAGCTTAACCGGGACTGGGACTGGTGGCGGAAGCGGAGGAGGAGAAGGCACGAAGGTGGCTAGTGAAGGCTGCCAGTTCTTCTTGGGGAAGCCAGGCCGTTCTTCCCAAACGAAAGGAACAGAAGGAGGCTGTCTCAATTGTTTTCGAGGTGGCTCTGTTTCTTTGGGTTCCATCTCAAACATATGCTCTCTTCTCTTTTACACGGCCCTTCTTTATTTATAAGGTTTGATTAGTCAGTGAGATGTTTTGTTAGCAAGTCAAACCACTTTGGTTTAAAGTATGCGTTGTTGGATTAGAGCCAACTATTTTTTTGTAATGAATACTCACCTAAACCATTTAGTGTTGTGTCATCAAATTTGTGGACTTGTGTCATGTATCATGGTATCTTTTCTTCCACCGAGTCTTAATCTAATCTATCAATCTTATTTTTACACTAGATGCTTCCGGTAAACCGTATGTGAATGCTTCGGGAGTATTTGATCTTTTCCAGCCTCATGACGTGGATCGGGAGTTCTTTTATTTAATCGGCAATCTGTGTGTGTTGTGCTTGACACTATCTCTTAAATACCCATAGCCCAACCAACCAGAATACAACAAATTTCAATCTTTTGGGTAAATAGAAAACAATTATGTAAGTAAAACTATATTAAAGTTATTGATAATCATTTTGTCTTGAGCCCGGTTATGCGCCTGGTTTACATTGTTATACACCACAATCATTTTTTTTTACTCCATCTAATTTTATATAATAAAATTTTTAAAATTTTTAAAGTTTTTTTTGTTTCAAAATATAAGATGTTTTGACAATCCTATATATTTTTTACTTTACTAGAATATTGTGTAACCAATAGTATTCTGCAGTCTTATTTATAATTGGTGAAATTTTTTTTATTTTATATAATAAATGATTTTTTTAAGGAAAAATACTTTCTTAATCTCCGCGCTTTAACCAAAACATCTTATATTTTAAAACGAAGAGAATATTAATTATAAGTATATCATTTTATACTAATGATTTTTTTATTGAGATAAAAGAAAATATTTTACGTTAAGTGTGTGTCATTGTTTATGAGATGTTTATAAGCAGAGAATTCAAAACAGGGAAAAATTTGGAATCTACAAATGTCTTGGGATAAAATCCGCACAATTGAATTTGGTTAAGATTTTTAAAGAGAACTGAAACCTCTAAGTATAAACAACAAACACATAAAGATGGTTTTTATTAAGATCCTTTAAAACTGTTTAAGAGATAAATACAAGTGTTTTGTTTAGCGAAATTGCCGATCACTTTCTCAAGAGAATCACATGAGTATATTTACTAGTTTAAGTCCGTTAAACCAATTCTTAAACAATAAATATTTATGTTACTTTTGCGTTTTTTTTTTTACAAGTCGGTTGAGTCTTTACGGACTTTTGCCTGGACTCGTCCAGTAAAAGTGCAGACTTCGTCGCTTCGGCCCGTGTGTTTGCCCAATCTTGGTTAGTTCGTTGTTATTCCAAACTAGGTCATTCAATATGTTATCTGATTGAACCGACCCCCCTTGTATGTTGTAACGTCGACATGTGCCCGCCTTTGGCTCGTGGGCTCGACCTTCTTCGTCCAACAGAATCAACCCTCTTCGTTCGATGGACTCGGCTTTTCTTCGTTTTTCGGGCTTCCATTCTGCACATGGCTTATTTGCAGACCAGATTGCTACATCTCCACGATAATTGGTGTAACTTTCTGATCATTGATCCAACTGGCTTCAAACTTCTTTTGGATGAAATTTAACGCAATCATATATCTCGTGGCCAAAATTTCAGCTAAATCTAATGAAGTTACGGCCTGCAAAGATTGCTAGACTTCTTATGCTCTGAAACTATCCATCTTTCGTTCGGGCCTTACCGAGCCCATTTGTGGTTCGGTTACGATGAGCCCATGTTATCATGATTCGGCTAGGTCAATCTTCATACTTAGAAATTGCGTTGTTAATTTTAGTGGGGTGAAAACAGACCCAACACCAAGCAATAAGTCCCTTATCATAGCGATAATCTTCTTAATGTATTGAGATGATTATGTTCATTACCGTCTTATCTACGAGGGGATGATGATTGATCTCCATGCCTTCTCCAATGTTGTTCCCTCCGTGTGTGAGAGATCGAAGTTTAAAAGACATACCGTATCAAAATGTTTCAATAGAAGCAATGGCGATGTGACTTAACTGAAATTACCACATCCTAATTGGAGGTGTAATATTTTATAATACTCAACTAATAATAACGGAGTAAACTGATAACCAAAAATTATACTGTATGGAAAAAAACTAACTAAAACTTGTGAGTTTCCTTAGAAAAACAATGTCTTATTTTGGTTAGTTTTCTAATTTTAATATAATACTTGGTTTGCCAATGCATATAGTTATAATAATAAAATTTATTGAAATTTATGATTTATAAAAGTATATGTAAAAGCTTAAAATTTCTTATATTGATGGTGAATCAAATATACAAAAGAATCTTAAGAGATGAATTCACGTAACTAGTTGTAGTGCTAAGTATTCTAATACGGAAAAATATTGAATTCTTTAAAAATCCATTGTATTCATAACTTGATTCAGCTCCGTTGTCTAACTCCGCGTATTTTGGGCTAGTTTCGGGTATTTCAGACATCTTCGTAGGTAGTTATCCAAAAATCTCGCGGAGTTAACCGAATCAAAGATCTTCTTTGACTCATTCCAAAGTTGGTTGCGTAACTCCTTTCAGTCAACACCGGTTGCTAATAAGTGTATTTGGACCTGCGATTAGGTTCAAACCTCGTTATTTTGGAATATCAGATATTTTTATTCTTGGACTTTTTATGAACTAACAGGTATATAATTTCTCTCGTGTCAAGGACATAACCGTACCGAAATAACCTTTACCATTCATTTCACAATTCGTACTGTATTATC